AGAATGCAAAGTGTGGGTGTGATGTTACTATTTGCATTGAAACAATGTAATTTGTCTCTCTTTTCTTGACTTTTTTTCCTTGAGGTTTTTTTTTTCTTGATTTTTTTTTTTTTTTTAATTTCAAAAATTGTACAGTCCTGGGGGAAAAAAGTCTTTTCTGTTAATATATTTGCAATTCATGAAAGGATGTGGAAAATCCAAATAAATTACTTTTAAAAGCAGGCTTAGCCCCAGGTGCTTTGGGTCAGGGGTGGGACTTGTCCTTCAGAAGTTGGGCAAGTGACAGAGGATGGAGAAGTTTAAGGGCACCCAGGGGTGCACAGGGCTCTTATTTGTCCTCTGCTACCCAGGCTTCCAATGTCGCCTGTGAATCTTCCACAGCCTTCCAAGGGGGCTGGAGTGGTGGGTGAGGTGTGAGTGGGTCCTGCCAGGGCCCCGGGGCTGCTGCAGGGCTGGAGCCCCCCTGGAGCCCGGCTGGGAGAGCTCAGAGCCCAAAGGGGCTCCAGGAGAGCAGGAGAGGGACCGGGGCCAGGGCATGGAGGGACAGGACACAGGGATAGGTGGGATACTGGGAGAAATCCTTCCTGGTGAGCCCTGGCACAGGGTGCCCTGAGAAGTTGTTGCTGCTCATCCTCACTTTCCATCCTGCAGTGACAGGAGATTCAAGAAGCTCTGGGTGCTGGAACAGGTTAGTTTTATTTTCATTTTTTCCTTCCTTCCATAGCAGGTTCCCACCCTGTGACTGCAGCTGTTGTTGCTGTCTCATACTTCCAAACCTGGGGGAAAAGCTGCCCTGGAAGGCTCATGGCTGTGCAGGAATTCCTCCTGCTGCATGTGGTCATCTTGGCTTGAACCTTTCACCACTCATTTTTGCTCAGTAATTTCTGAGAGCTGAGTTTGGCTGTACAAGCCACCCGGAGGTGAAGCCCTTCCTAGCTGCTTCCCCGTGTTTCCTCCCATGGTTCTGTTAATCCTGGGCATTCATTCCTGTGTCTTGTAGCTGAGCCCTGCAGTGAGAGCTGTTCTGTTCTGTTCTGTTCTGTTCTGTTCTTCACTGCAGCCTCCCCGTGTGGGCTGGGCTGGAGCTGGGCTCTGCCTGGTGCTGAACCCGGGCTTTGCTCAGGGCAGGCTGAGCTTTAGGTGCCTCCAGAGAAAGGCAAAGCTGTGATGAAGTTGGATTTTTCCCTCGTTCCAGGGCTGAATCACAGCCATGTGGTGAACACCAGGAGTTGTTTAGGAACACCTACATCTCACTGAGGTTTGCACCCGTTCTGGTGTTCACCACTGACTTTGTTGCTGCAGCATCTTCTTTTCTGTCCCTCTGTCCAAGTCTGTGACTTTCAGTGAGAGCTGATGCAGGAGCAGAACTGGGTTTTTCTAAGGCAAGGATCCCAGTGCTTTTAAACTTTGTCACCTGCAGAATAAGGTTATAGTCTGGATTTTCCTGGATAACCAGGGAAAACAACCTGGTTGTTCCATATTCCCTGGAGAAGGAGAGCAAGGACAGTGAATGCAGCTGCTCTGTGTGGGACCAGCATCTCCCAGTGTCTTTGGAGCATCTCAAACATCCTTCCAGTCCTGAAAGGAGCTTAGGAAAAAAGAGGGACAGTAACTTTTTGCACAGGCAGAAAGCGACAGAACAAGGGGCTGTGAACCACTTTAACCTGAGAGCAGTTTAGTTTAGATGATGCTAGCAGGAAATTCTTTACTTGGAGTTTGGCAAGGCTGTGGCACAGGGTGCTCAGAGCAGCTGTGGCTGCCCCTGGATCCCTGGAATTGTCCCAGGCCAGGCTGGGCAGGGCTTGGAGCAGCCTGGGACAGTGGAAGGTGTCCCTGCCATGTCAAGGGTGCACTGGATGGACTTTGAGTCCTCTTCCCACACAAACCATTCCATGATTTCATGATCCTCTCCCCAGCTCTGCTGTCCCAAAGGGCACCAGTGACTCTCATTGCCCAGGACCTTGTATTTAAATTAAACCTGTCCTGTGATGGGGATAAAAACTAAAATACAAATTAAAAAAGCACGAGTGGCAGCAGCTGCAGAGCTCCGTGGCTGTGTCCCACAGCAGTGGAAGGGTTTTCCGTGTGTAGGAGACGACGCTGGGCTGGCAGTGGCATCACTGAGGCCAGCAGCTCCCAGGGGCCCGGGGCAGCGGTGCCACAGCCCCGGTGTCACCCGTGGGGCAGCGACGGGCCCAGGGCCACGGGCCCTGCGTCACCTGTGGGCCACGGGCCCGAATGACGGGCCAGGGCCCGGTGTCCCGGTGCCCGCAGCCCTCGTCCCCGCGCCGGGGCTCGCTGTCCCGGCCGCACCTCCCGCTGTCCCGGCGGGTCCAGCCCCGCCGCGGGACCCCTGCTCCGCACCGGGCACGAGTGGCCGCGGCCCTCAGGACGCTCCACGCGTCCCCCCGGCCCGCTGCCACCTGCGGGACACCGGCGCCCCGTGCCCCCCGCCCCGCACCCGGGGCCGCCTCCGCCGCCCCCCGCCCG